AAGGGTTAAGCACCAACAGGGGGAGCCCCCGAGATGCACATCCCTAGGCGCTCCCCAGGGGTTCACCGCTCGGGGCGCGCTTTGGGCCCTAGCCTCCGTAGGTTTCGGACGAGGCGACGCCCCGGAGTCCTTTAACGAACTACCCTTCACGATTTGGGGAGGTGATGGCGTTCCTCCCCCAACTTCATTTGCATAACAATACCCCTGCCAATGCCTACCGCCAAAACCGAGGAGTTGTGACGTTTTGCTACGAGGTAGGCGAAAAAACCAAGTGGCTTCAAAATACAGCCAATTAGCCAAATGGAAAAACTCCTACCAGGCCCCTTGCGGCGACCAGCCGAAGCCCATAGCAAAGTCCAAATGCAAACCTAGAGGGCGGGTGGGTGGGAAAAACCGCAGCTGCTGCAAGGAAGGAAAAGGGCGAGCCAGGGCTTCCCGACCTTAAGTGCCCCATTGTAAGCCCGCCTCTAGCGCCTGCCGATTGGCCGGCGCTGTGGGATAATGAATAATAATTAGTTTGGGGAATCCCTGAGTCCCGCGGGGCTGGCGCCAGCCCCGCGAGAATGTAGTCAGGGGCGTGAGCCCGCAACCCCTCCCCCTCCTTAGGTCGGGAGTGGCTTTGCGTGGCAATTCCCGCCCCTTCCCACGGATGGAATAAATAAAGACACCGGACACCAGAATTTAAGTTAATGGGCGAAAATGGCCACAACTTTATTGATTACAGGTAAGAGTGGTATTGGCTTTAGGCATTGGCCCTAACAGACTATCCGGTCTAACCGGGAAGGGTTAAGCACCAACAGGGGAGCCCCGAGATGCACATCCCTAGGCGCTCCCCAAGGGGTTACCGCTCGGGGGCGCGCTTTAGGCCCTAGCCTCCGTAGGTTTCGGACGAGGCGACGCCCCCCGGAGTCCTTTAACGAACTACCCTTCACGATTTGGGGGAGGTGATGGCGTTCCTCCCCCCCAACTTCATTTGCATAACAATACCCCTGCCAATGCCTACCGCCACACGAGCCAGGCTCGCCGCCAATACCCTCAGACCTGTAACCAATCCCTGATCCCCCGAAAAATGTCTGCCAGCCAAATATCGTTACCAGCATCGGAAAGATGCACGCCATCCCCACGGTAGAGTGCTTCGTTGCCAAACCGGATACCTGGGTGTTCGATGACCCGGCCCCCCATTGCAGCCACTCTACGCGCCACCGAGCGCTCCAGGATCCTCCTGGCCTTATTCACCGCCACCGGATTTGTGGCGTCCCGCCAACAGCGCCTCTCAAGCAGAGATGACCAGATAATTGTCATATTCGAATAAGCAGCCCGCAACTCCCCCAGGTCATTGAAAATATTCCACATTAAGTCCACCCCCTTTCTATAAGCCAGGTCGTTCTCGCCCAGTTGGATGACCAGCGCATCGGGTGGGCCTTCAACTGCAATTCTTTTTGTTACTGCTGGGAAGAATTCCTCCCAGCGCATTCCCCGACGTGCAATCCAGGACACTTCAACACTGTATGGGAGTTGCAGATCGCTGCCCCAGCCCCTGGCAGCTGCCCGCGCTCTTGCCCAGTGGACAATGCTGTGGCCAATGATCCACAGTCGCACCGCCCCGACACCTGAAATAGAAGAGAACAAGAGAGCCGGATCAGGGGGACAGATGGGGGAAAGGAGGGGGGTTTAGCATGGCTTCCGGATGTATCCCCTGTAAGCATTTGACTTCCAACGGCCCATGTCCATTATCCTCTCAGCCGGTAGACCCATGTGCACGGCGGTGGTCGCGGCCCCAATGCGAAATGAGTGGGCGGCATACTCCTCCGGTGGAAGCCCAATAGCAGCGATCGCCTTGCGCATAACCCTTGTGAACTGGTGCTTTGACAGGCGAGAGCCGTCAGCATGTATGAAGAAAGGGCCGTTTAACTTCGGCCTTAAGCTCAGGAACTTTCTCGCATCCTTTACAGGGCAAGGGCCGGCCTTCTGAGTCGCCTGCAGGCAGATTAGGGCCCCTCTGCCAAGCTGGTCAGTCTTTGAGCTGCGAATTCTCAGGATTACCTCTGCACTAGACGAGGTCACGTCCTCAAGGAGGAGCCCCCTGTTGTTACCACCCGATTGGTCCTCACAGACCACCTCGCGTATGCGTAAGGCGCCAAAGAAGGCGAAGGAAAATGCAGTGGAAAATAGCCTGGCCTCGTACCTGGACCAGCAGATGGCCCTGAGCTTCTTACGTATTTGCGTGAGAATGTCATAGGTTATGGGTCTTCTGCTGTCGGAACTAGGAGGCCGAGACCTACGCCAGCCCTCTAGCATCTTCCGCACCACGAAGTGTGCACAGGGGTCGACAGAGAACAACGCTTTGGAGAAGAACGATATTGCAGCGGAATGAATATTGAGGGTTTTGGGGGCCCGCCCTAGATCGCGGAGGCGCACAAGGTATTCTATGACCTCTGACTTAGACGGGGGCCTGCCCGGCTTAAATAGCCCTTTCTTCTGACGGAATGACGTGAAATCTAGCCACGCCTTGTTATAGGATCGTAGGGTTGAGGGTGCAACTGCTGACAATACTCCCTTTATTGCTTCTCGTTGCCAATACTCCAGAGGTGTTCCGGAAACGGCTGTGGCAGCAGCTGAGCATCCGGCGCCAATGAGCGAAGCGATCCGTCTGAAAACGAGACAGAGCATCCGCAACATTGTTATTGATACCTGGTACGAATTTGGCTGAAGCATATAAGTTTAGCCGAAGGCAGGAAAGGACAAAATGACGCAACAGCGACGCCACTCTAGGTGAACGAGAGGATTGCTTATTTAAGACGGACACCACTGCCTGGTTGTCTGTCCAAAAGCAGACCCTGCGGTCTTTAAATTGCTCGGCCCATAGATGAATTGCAACTACGATAGGGAAGAATTCTAAGAATGTTAAGTCGCGTAGTATGGGTTTACCCTGCCATGAAGAGGGCCATCGCTGTGCGCACCACTGACCTCTGAAGTAGACTCCAAACCCCAAAGAACCTGCTGCGTCTGAATGGACCTGGAAATCGGATTGAAGGGCCATGCTATCTTGCCAAAGTGAAATTCCGTTATATCCATCTAAGAATTGCAGCCAGACCTGGAGATCCGATTTTACTGCCTTCGAGAGGCGCACCCTATGATGTGGCGACCTTAAACCTGATGATAACTTAGCCAGCCGTCCGCAAAAGGGGCGACCGGGTGAAACCACTCGGCACGCGAAGTTAAGGTGACCTAAAAGTGATTGAATTTGCCTGAGGGTAACCTTCTTTAAGGGCAATAGCTGTAAAATGAGCTCCTTAAGGGCCACCAACTTCTCAGCAGGAAGGCGAGATGTTTGGGCAATAGTGTCAAGCTCAATGCCCAAGTAAGTCATCGTAGTGACCGGACCCTCGGTCTTTTCATTCGCTAAAGGGACCCCCAGCTCCTCTGCCATGGACATGAAGGCCTGTAGCAAGGCCGTACAGTCATTTGCATTACTTGCCACCAAAATAAAATCATCCAAGTAATGCCCCACCCCTTCAAAACCAGATTTAAATTTCAGCGCCCATTCAAGGAAGGTGCTGAAGGCCTCAAAAGCAGCGCAGGCAATTGAGCACCCCATTGGCATTGCTTTATCAATGAAATACGCGCCCTGGAATTTAAAGCCCTAACCAACGATAGTCTTCAGGGTGGACAGGGAGAAGGCGAAATGCAGATTCGATGTCGCATTTGGCCAAGAAAGCCCCCCTGCCAAAACCCCGAACCAGTTTTACAGCCTGATCAAAGGATGCATATTTTACCGTGCACAGTTCCTGGGGGATAGCATCGTTAACTGAAGTCCCCTTAGGGTAAGAGAGGTTATGTATCATCCTGAATTCCCCAGGGGCCTTTTTGGGGACAATGCCGAGCGGAGAAATATGCAGCTGATTGATGGGAGGTACCGCAAATGGACCGGCCACCCTCCCAGCCAAAATTTCTTTCTGAATCTTTTTCATCGCAATGTCAGGTCTCTCTAAAACTGACTTCTGATTGGGGGGGCAACTTGAACTGGGGGTGAAGGCAACTGGAATTCTGAACCCATGGGAAAACCCTTCCTCTAGAAGAAGGGCGGCTTGTCTATTAGGGTATAGATTTAACAGAGTTCTTAGGGGTTGGAGCTTAATCGGAGAATGAGCTAGGCTGAGGGACAAATTAGTAGCGATTCCCTGCCGACCCTTGGGCGGGTCCTGAAGCACCAGAGGGGGCACCCCGGTTTCCCTGATGGAGGTGACCCTGCCGCCTCGAAAGGGCTGTTGTTTACTTTTGTAGCAGTTAATAGCAGGGTGGCTGCCTAGACACTTGTCACATTCATGCAAGTACTTACAAGAGGTGCGCTGGCAGTTCCCTCTATTGAAGTCCCAGCATTGCTTACGACGTTTTGTGTCCACCTTACCAGGTTTTGCTTGGTCGTGTGTTTTCTTTTCGATGTTAGGCCCCACGTGCTCCATCCAATAGTTATTGTCCCTCTGATCCCAGCGCGTGGAGGACAACAACGAGGCATTCCTACGAAAATCCTCGTCGTACGAGATGGCAGCCTCATCTCCCGCTAACTCGCGAGCCCTTCTCACATGCGCCAGATAAGATGCAAGATGCAACCCACGTTTTGGATAACATCCTAAAACTATCCCCATGAATACCTGGTAACCGTTGAGCCAATTCTCGAATGTACGCTCCGCCCGAGGGACCTATATCTTTTCTTACCATAATACCGCTTTTTCTCCCCTTTTCCTTTTATTTGCGCAGGCGGTAGCAAAGTAAACATATCTATGAAGTCCCCGTTCAGTATCTTATCCCTTTTCCTCTTAGAAAGGTGATTACCCAAGATAAAATCAGTAGCCAAGTGAGTTGAAACTTTAACATCTTCCACCAACGCCCCGTCTTTCCACTCAAGAGTACCGTTAAAGGTTTTCCGGTGTGAATTGGCCCGCCTCTCATGGATCCACAAGGGGGCACCAGTTTCCTCCCCAACCCCCCAGAATCTCTACATGGGCGCATCACTATCACCCTCAGAAGAAGAAGTACCTGTCTCGTCCTCGGAGTCAGATGTGTCCCTTCTCCTGCTCTTTTTGGACACGTGCTTCCTCTTCGCTTTCCGTTTCCTTCCACGGGAGCTACTGTCTTGCGGGGCTGGGTCATTAGACGTTGAAGCTGCCTGCTGGGGAGGCAACTCCTCATCCGAAGATGACCCCTCGGACGGACTGCGCTGGGCTGGAGCATCCTGAAAAACACTAGGAACCCCAATTGTCTCCTGGCTTGCATTAGGGGGAGCGGCCCGTAACGGTCTGGTCTTCTGTGCACTGGCCTTTGACTTCTGCGGGCCAGGCTTGACTTTCTGGGCACTAGACTTAGACTTCTGAGCGCGTGCGGTCTGTAAACGCGTTTGGGGTCGATTGGGCGGCTCCACGCCAGGCTGCGTGGCGCTGGACGTAGATGAGGAGGGTCCTGCTAGGCCCTGTTGGCTGGGTGGGGTGTCAGGAATACAATCTTGAGATAGCTCCACTATGGTAGAAGTCGAGGCAACTGGGGGCCCGCATTGCGCGTAAAAATTTTGGATTGCCGAGAAGAGTTGAGCTAAAGCTTGAGGGTTACCATGCGCAACAGGCACTAGGGCCCCACCTGACTGGGGTGTTCGAGCATTGCCCCTGTTTGCCATGTTGACCGCCTAAATATGAATGAGTGTATGCAAGTGTATATGTGTGTATATATATATATATTCTATGCGTGCGTGTATAATTTTTTTTTTTAAAAAAATTATTATTTATTTATTTAAGTATTCTATTTATTTATTATTTATTATTTATATGTATGTATGTATGTATCTAATTTTTATTTATTTATTTATTTATTTGTTTGTTTTTGTATAATATTATTTATCTCCTTTAAAAAAAAAAAAAATATTGTTCTTCTTCTTCTTATTATTATTTATTTATTATTATTATTATTATTCAAATTTATTTATTTACTATTTTCTTATTGCTATTATTTATTAACATACACTATTCTTTATTTATTCCCTTACTAATTGGTTATTTGGTAGTTAAGTGATAACGACCTCCTCTTCTGATAATATTACTGCTGTACCTGAAAGCAATAACTGACCTGGTGTGTAAGAAACCAGCTGATCAAAGTAAGGCTACTGAGTTGAAGCAAGCCTTTTACGACTCTGCAATGACTTTTGCACAGAAATTTTTGAAAGCCATATATAATGCTGGAATAAAATAAAGCGGCTCCTAGTCCAAGAAATGCAATTGCAAAGCAAGCCTCTGGGAAACCAAGCAATGATTCACCTGTATGGATTGAACCAGCAACTTCCCAGAAAGTATAGAAAACTTTTAGATTAAACCCATGAATTATTTAAAACGTGAATGCAGCTCCTTCTATAGTTAGCTAAAATTATTAATATCCAGCAGCAGAATGAATTAAATCGGGCGATGAATTATTAAATTATCCAGCAGCGCAAAAGGATTAAATGCAGGAAGCAGGCAGCCCAGTGAGCTACTGTTGAGCTGCTTACTCCAGAAAGCAGGGCACACTTGAAGCCAATAAGCTTGCTAAACTCGAAAGAACTGCTGAAACTGTAAGCAACTGTATTAAAAGTAACCTTTCCTAGCGAGGCAATGAATCTATCTTTCTACTTAAGCAGAATGGCAACAGATGCAACTAAACTGGAGAGGCAAAAGATACAGCGTAACGACCGTCAGGCAAAGAGGTTTTAAACCAGGCAGCAATCTGATCGTTTATTTCAACCCTAGCTTCCCAGCGGCTATAATGTATCAATCTGCTGCAGCAGGCAGATGTCGGACTGATAGCAACGCAGGGACCAGTCACCCGATGCCTCACCTAAGATGGCGACCGCCGTGTGACCACGTGGTCAAGTTAAAATGGCGGCAGAGGCTGATGTTGTCCCGGCAACAGGGAGCCCCGGAGCCGAGAGGATCGCACCAGAGTACAATTATGCCTCCCTCGGTACACCTCCCTTTCCCACGATTCTGCGTTAAAGGGATTGATGACAAATAGCACAGCCGGCAGGCACCCACCGAGATACAGACAAGCCCCCCTCGCGAACAGAACCCCTGTCCCAAGCACCTATAGCAATTAACACTGTATGAGACAAAGCAACAAATCGCTCTCGATACAACTGCTTATGACGCCTGAACCAGGGCGCGTTTCCCCCCTCCCCGAGATGCACCCCAACAGCAATGAAACCTCAGTGAGCGCTGAGGCAGCTCACGCCTGTAGTCCGCTTCCAAAAACCCAGTCGTTGAAAAGCCACGTGCGTATCCACAGCAGGGCGACCGGAGGGGGGAGGAGCGCGCGATCCACGGGCGTCCCGGGCTCCTGGCGTTAGTAGGATGATGCTAGGATCCGAGGCAGAGAGGCAGCGCTTGCTCTCCAGCCAAGAAATGTGAAAGAACTGCAGAAAACTAGGCAGTAAAGCAGCCAGAACGACGGGACAGCAGAGAAGAGAAAAAAAAATAAAAACCGCAGCTGCTGCAAGGAAAAAAAACCGCAGCTGCTGCAAGGAAGGAAAAGGGGCGAGCCAGGGCTTCCCCGACCTTAAGTGCCCCATTGTAAGCCCGCCCCTAGCGCCTGCCGATTGGCCGGCGCTGTGGGATAATGAATAATAATTAGTTTGGGGAATCCCTGAGTCCCGCGGGGCTGGCGCCAGCCCCGCGAGAATGTAGTCAGGGGCGTGAGCCCGCAACCCCTCCCCCTCCTTAGGTCGGGAGTGGCTTTGCTGCTTTCACTGCGCAGCGATCCCTCTTGCTGTTCTGGCTTCTGAGATTCAGAGTATTTTTTTTCTTGTTTTCCTCCTCCCAAAACTAGGTGCGTCTTGTGGTCTGGTGCGTCTTATAGAGCGAAAAGTACGGTGATTCTGTTTGTGTGGGGGGGGGGAGGATAAAAGCTTGTTGTCAGGGAACTGCCATCAGATCAGAGGCGAGAGGGGGAAAGGCAGATGGATTACAGAGAGCCTCCAAAGATCATGGGAAGCAGCACTTCCTCAGCGGAGGAAGGAAGCCACGCCTCTAGTGGGGAGGAGATGCAGGACTCTGAGGATGCAAGGCAGTGCCAGGACACCTTGCCTGAGCAAAGCTGGGAGGAGAGAGGTCCCCCTTTACCCAAGCCTTCCTTGCGCAGTAGGCTTTCACGCAGAGAGGGGAGGCGCAGACGGGGGGTCAAGAAACTACTCTGCTGGGGAAAGTTTAAGGACCGCCCACTCTCAGATTCTGCTAGTGAGTGAGCAAGACATGGAACAGAGGCGTTCTGCATTGTAAAGGTTTTAAGGTAAAGGTAAAGGGACCCCTGACCATTAGGTCCAGTCGTGGCCGACTCTGGGGTTGTGGCGCTCATCTCGCTTTATTGGCCGAGGGAGCCAGCGTACAGCTTCCGGGTCATGTGGCCAGCATGACTAAGCCGCTTCTGGTGAACCAGAGCAGCGCACGGAAACGCCGTTTACCTTCCCGCCGGACCGGTACCTATTTATCTACTTGCACTTTGACGTGCTTTCGAACTGCTAGGTGGGCAGGAGCTGGGACCTTGCAACGGGAGCTCACCCCGTCGCGGGGATTCGAACCACCGACCTTCTGATCGGCAAGTCCTAGGCTCTGTGGTTTAACCCACAGCGCTTTTCAGAAACTTGGCAGGTGGCATTGTAGAGCCGGTAGAGGAGGCACCTGGCCTCTCAGATCATTCAAAATGCTTTGGATTTCAGTCCACCCCCAGGTGATCTTGAAAGCAACGGGAGCTCACCCCGTCGCAGGGATTTGAACCGCTAACCTTCTGATCGGCAAGCCCTAGGCTCTGTAGTTTAACCCACAGCGCCACCCGCGTCCCTTGTAAAGGTTTTAGCACCAATAATAAAGCTTTTGAAAAGACCAGTGAGGCATCTGGTTTTGACCTTTAAAGCCCTAAACGGCCTTGGCCCAGTATACCTGAAGGAGCGTCTCTACCCCCATCGTTCTGCCCGGACCCTGAGGTCCAGCGCCGAGGGCCTTCTGGCGGTTCCTTCATTGTGAGAAGCAAAGCTACAGAGAACCAGGCAGAGGGCCTTCTCGGTGGTGGCGCCTGCCCTGTGGAATGCCCTCCCACCAGATGTCAAAGCGATAAATAACTACCTGACATTCAGAAGACATCTTAACGTAGCCCTGTTCAGGGAAGTTTTTAATGTGTAATATTTTAGTGTATTTTTGGTTTTTATGGAAGCCGCCTAGAGTGGCTGGGGAAACCCAGCCAGATGGGCGGGGTATAAATAATAATAAATTATTATTATTATTATTATTATTATTATTATTATTATTATTATTATATCTTGCCTGATCGCTCTCGAGCAACCACCCGATAGCCATAACACTTGTCAGCTTAGGATTTGGTACAAATGAAATCAGGCTGCAAATTTGCATTGCATAGGGGGTAAATCCAGGTGATTGCCAAGCCTAATGTTAGGTTATGAAGCGATGAGAGCTGCTCCTGTGAAAAGCATGGGAATTGTGCAGTTTCTTGAACTGTGTCAATACAAAATATTGCACACATGGCATTTCCTGATGTGTGTTTGATGCCCCCAAGAAGGTTTAGTTTCTTGCGCTGCTCAAAGACAGGAGCACTGTAGTTCCGAATGAAGTAACTGGCTCTCTTTTCCCTTGAAGCCTCGATGCATTCCTGCATTTTGCCACTGTTCAGTTTCCCCCCAGGAAGTGCTGCTCATAAGGAAATGTTATGCTGTTACAGGGCTTGGGACTTGGAGGTGTGCCATTAAACTTGTACGTGTCACATGTGCAAATCTACAGATACTAAAGACAATGTTCCTATGTAGGCAAGAGGGGTATGCGTGTGTGCAAGTTTAGGCTTCCAAGTGGAAAAGTCAAAATTAGAAACAGAATTGTTAGAACCCAAAACTAAAAATTTGTCAAGAATGTATAACTTGCTGTTGAAATGGAATACTCAGGATGAAACGGTGAAATCTGCTATGATTAAATGGGCACAAGATGTTGGCCATAATATTATGTTTGCTGACTGGGAACAGTTATGGACCACAGGTATGAAGTTTACGGCATGTAATGCCTTAAGAGAGAATATTATGAAAATGATATACAGGTGGTACATGACCCCAGTCAAGCTTGCAAAAATTTATCATTTGCCCGATAATAAATGTTGGAAATGTAAAGAAACTGAAGGTACATTCTTTCACCTTTGGTGGACATGCCCAAAGATTAAGGCTTTCTGGGAAATGATATATAATGAACTGGAAAAGGTATTTAAATATACCTTTCTGAAGAAACCAGAGGCCTTTCTCTTGGGCATTGTCGGCCAACTGGTGCCAAAAAAGGACAGAACCTTTTTCATGTATGCTACAACAGCAGCAAGAATACTTATCGCAAAGTATTGGAAGACACAAGATCTACCCACTTTGGAAGAATGGCAG